ACATCATTTTTTTTCTTTTAAAAATATTCTTATTAAGGTATAATTGACATATAATGTTGTATTAGTTTCAGGTGGGCAACAGAATGATCGAGTATTTGTATATATCGGAAAATAATCATCACCATAAGTCTAGTTAACATCATTACCATACATAGTAACAGAAATTGTTTTCCTTGTGAGGAGAACTTTTAAGATCAACTATCTTAGCAACTTTCAAATATGCAATACAGTGTTATCACTGTAATCACCATGCTGTGCATTACATCCCCATGAGTTCTTTATTCTTTTTTCTTTCTTGTCTTATTTTTATTTCTCATTTTACTAATAGGAGTAGGATAGATTGAAGGCTTTGGGGCGATAACTTTTATTAATTTTCATTTCTCTTTAAATTTGTTTTTATAGTATAGTTAACACACAATGTTACATTTCCAATGTACAACAGTAATTTGACAAGTCTATGCATTATGCTGTGCTCACCGTAAGTGTAGCCACCATCTGTCGCCATACAGCACTATTACAATACCATTGACTATATTCCCTATAATGTGCCTTTCATGCTTGTGACTTACTCATTCCATAACTGAAAGCCTGTATCTTCCATTCCCCTGCACCCATTTTGCCCATTCTCCACCTCCCTTCCCTCTGGAAACATAAGTTTGTTCTCTGTACTTACAGGTATGTTTCTGCTTTTCATTTTTTTTTGTTTTGTTCTTTAGATTCCACATATAAGTGAAATCATATGCTAGTCATCTTTCTTTTTCTTAGTTATTTCGCTTAGCAAATACCCCTTAGATTTATCCGTGTTGTTGCAAATGTCACATCTTCTTTTTTTGTCCTATTTATTTATTTTTTTGATGTAGTGTTCCATGATTCATTGTTTGCGTAAAACACCCAGTGCTCCATTCAATACGTGCCCTCTTTAATACCCATCACCAGGCTAACCCATCCCCCCACACCCTTCCCCTTTAGAACCCTCAGTTTGTTTCTCAGAGTCCAGTCTCTCATGGTTCGTCTCCCCCTCCAATTTCCTCCCCTTCCTTTTTCCCTTCCTGCTATCTTCTTCTTTTTTTTTTTAACACATAATGTATTATTTGTTTCAGAGGTACAGGTCTGTGATTCAACAGTCTTACACAATTCACAGCGCTCACGATAGCACAGACCCTCCCCAATGTCCATCACCCAGCCACCCCATCCCTCCCACCCCCCACCAATCCAGCAACCCTCAGTTTGTTTCCTGAGATTAAGAATTCCTCATATCAGTGAGATCATATGATACATGTCTTTCTCTGATTGACTTATTTCGCTTAGCATAATACCCTCTAGTTCCATCTATGTCGTTGCAAATTGCAAGATTTTGGGAGATTTTTTTGATGGCTGCATAACATTCTATTATATATATATATATATATATATATATAAAACACATCTTCTTTATCCTATCATCAACTGATGGACACACAGGCTGCTTCCATATCTTGGCTATTGTAAATAATGCTGCAATAACCATAGGGGTGCATATATCTTTTCAAATTACTGTTTTTATTTTCTTTTTGTAAATACTGAATTACTGAATCATATGGCATTTTCATTTTTAATTCCTTGAGGAACCTCCATACTGTTTTCCACAGGGACTGCACAAATTTACATTCCCACCAACAGTGCACAATTGTTCCTTTTTCTCCACATCCTCATTTTTTTAATGCTCTCCAAAATATTTCAATGTCCAGTCAAGGTTGAAAACCACTAACACGGAATAATTAGATAATTAGGAGAGTTATACATTACTGAAAAAAGGCAAACAATGTCATTTCCATGTAAAATTAATTCTTTCACACACTTGGGGCGCCTGGGTGGCTCAGATAGTTAAACATCTGCTTTCAGCTCAGATCATGATCTCAGGGTCCTGGGATCGAGCCCCATGTCTGGCTCTCGGCTCAGCGGGGACTCTGCCTCTCTCTCCCTCTGCCCCTACCCCTGCTTGTGCTCTCTCTCTCTCAAATGAATAAGTAAAAAAAAAAAATCTTTAAAAAAATCTTTCACACACTTTATAAAGTGTACATATATGTATACACGATATTACATATATACATATATATAATCATTAACCTTAAAAATCTATATGCACACACACACACACACACACACACGGATACAAATATATTACAGGACAAATAATTCTTTCCCTGTACTCATGTTCTAGCTAACCTGAAAAAAAACTTTCTTTCCCTTCAAAAGTATTCAGAGAAGTACATTTTTCTACTTCACACTCTTACCATCACAGGAAGAGTTACTTACCTTATTGGTAAGCTTTTAATCATTCTCTGTATTTTCCTTCCTGACCCCACATGGCAATATCTTTCTCTGAACATGTTCTCAATCAAATGCTCAGCTAAATTGAAAAGGACTCCATCTCAAATGAATAAATTATTATATGCTACAGTCCATCACTCACCCACACATACTTTTTGGAATGGGACAAGAGGTATATAAAGGAGAGATATTAAGCCTGAATTTCTGCAAAGGTAATGGGGCAGCTAAAAGAAAGGAATGATCCAGTGGAAGGAGAGGTGAAGTTGGATTATTTTTGATTATTTTGATTTTGAGGTGTTGGAAGGCAGTTGGAATTGAGAACTTGTACTCCAGAAAATAGGCCAAAATTGAGGATTCCATTTGGAATTCCTGCACAGAACCATGATTAATAAAATAATTAAAGTTAGGACAATAATAAGGCACATTTCAAATGCATAATATTTAATTACTTAGATCTGGTATCCATCAATAATGATAACCAAACACCACATATTTTAATCACTTAATGCTTAATTGAACTCAACATTCAAAAAAGTTATAGACTGGGAAAGTTGCCACCAAATTTGAGATCATTTTAAGCTGTTATTCTTTCATGCCTTTACTGATGAATATTAGATGAATCTAGAGTACTTAGCTGAACAGCTCTATTTTGTTTCTGGACATATTTTATTTCTATTATTTAATGACACATGTTGCAAAGGCACAACTACTTTTAATATGCCATTATTTAACTAATCCACAAGTTGACTGTCTACAAAATGGTCTTTCTGGCTAAGTGAGCCCTACCTACAAGAATAATGACACTCAATCAAAGTTAAATCTCAACAAAGTTAGAGATTACTTCAAAACTCATACCTTGGTTACTTATTTTGGACATAGAGAGGAGACAGATTATTAATATTAAATGTGTAGATCCCAAGAATTTATTACCTTACTTAAATAGATTCTCTACATGCTACTATTTCTTTTGGTTTTTATGGTTAAACCTTCAATAATATTTTTCATATGAATAGAAGTCTACCTTTTAGTCAAAAATTATTGCTTTCATTCTGGAAAAATATTAAGAATACAGTAATAAAATTCAACGTAGCATTAACTGTTTTGGTAATCCAACATATAATTACTAAGTGTCTGTTAAATTTCAGGCATAGATTGAGAGATGGTTATAACAAAGAAGAATAATAAAATGTGATACTCGCTCTCAAAATCTAGAAAGCATTATCGCATGGTAGTGTGGGCTTTGGACTGTTTGATATGGTTCAAATCCTCACTCTGAAAATGTACTGGTCATGCAACTATTTGCACATAACCTCCCAAAGTCAGTTTTTCATGTATAAAATGCAGATCAACATATAAAGTGTTAGAACAACCCAGGGAAGGCAAAGTGCCATAGCAGTCTTGAGAGACAGAGGTCAACCCATACATAGCCCATCCATGTCAGAAGCCTAGTGGGTTTAGCCATTATACTGAGCAAACCCTCAATGCCAATAAACCAAGGTCTGTTCTCTAGCTATTTGATTAACATAGATAAAATTCCTTGGATCTGAGGGGGTAAGGATGACTGCAGTTTCAATAATTCTATGCAATGTATTTGGATGAATGTTGAGGAAATCAACTCTTTCATGTGCAGAATTTCAATTAATCTACTAGTTATAAACTAATGCCTCCTGTCATTTTTCATATCTGCCATTTCTGAGCTCTGAGTCTTATGAGGGTTTCATGGGTGGCTGATCCTTCCTCAGGCATTTCCCTCTGCTTATTTTTGACTTCACTTTCTCCTGCTTTGGTTCATCAATTATCATATCTCTATCTTTTGGGAAGTGGCTGATTTTTTTTTCCTTATCTGTTTAGAATTCACTTATTTTTCATTATTGTTTTAGACTTCTAAATTTTTATTCCTTTAATATAATATTAATGGAGCTTTAGACGAGCCAGGAGATTAAAATCTATTGTTTTCTATATTGCACTCAAGAGGAAAATTCTATGAACCTTATTTAAACATAAGATTTATTTTTTATGACACAACCTTGAGTTATTTTGACAGAGAGTTTATTTCTGTCTCTTAAATATAATTTTCCAGCTTGGAAATCCTCCGCAGGATCCATGCTTTGACTCAGTTTGACGTTAATATTACAAACCACATGAGAGAAGAAAGAGGTTTAAGGGAATTTTTACCTAGGTTTAAAAAAAGGGTAAAACCTAGGTAAATGCAATGCATTTCAAGATGAGAAGATGCATTTCTATCACCTCCATAATAAAATCCCTTTTTTTTTTTTTTTGTCCTCCCTTCCAAATTGCTATTCCACTTTGGAGAAAATGCTGAATGATCAGAGTTTCTACCAGAGAATATATGTCTGAACTAAAAGAGGAAGTGGTTTATAGAAGAAAAAAGGGGCATGATATCTTCTGTGGTATTAAATATTAAAATTATTACAAACCTAGAAAACAGACTGTAGAGCAAGAAACTGCTGGATGAATAGTAATTTTCTTCCATATCATGAAGTGTTCAAAAATCTATTACCTTGATTGGTAAGACTGAACACATTGCTTTTGTCCTATATTCATAGAGGAAATCCACCAAATTTGGGAGAGCAGATTATCTGACTTCACCAGAAGCTTATTTGCAGAACTATGAGACTCCCTTCAGTAGAACATCATTTTTGGTCTTCTCTCTCTTTTTAATATGCACAATGGCTGGAGATATAGTCTATGCTGATATTAAAATTGATGGGAATTTTTCTTTAGAAAATTCATCCTCACTTCAGAAATCTGGTAAGTTGGCTTTAGAGGTCCTTTAAAAATTGATATTTTACCTTTAATCTCCTTTATTTCTATGCTGCATTTGTTTATGTCTTACTAAAAATAGAAGACTAGATTCTAAGAAAAATTGAATGCAAGAATAAGAGTGAATTTTTTAATGAAACAAAGTTAATTGTAATTTTATTTTCTTCTTTTCTTTTTCAAGTTTTTATTTAAATTCCAGCTAGTTAAATACAGTGTAATATTAGTTTCAGGTGTAGAATTTAGTGATTCATCACTTACATACAACAGTGTGGATGCAGCTAGAGAATATTATGCTAAGCGAAATAAGTCAGTCAGAGAAAGACAAATACCATGTGATTTCACTCATATGTGGAATTTAAAAAACAAAACAAATGAACATAGGGGGGAAAAAAGAGAGAGGCAAACCAAAAAACAGACTCTTAACTATAGAGAACAAACTGAGGGTTACTGGAGGGGAGGGGAACAGGGGGATGAGTTGAACTATGCTTTTGATTTTCATAGCCTTTCTATTCTTTTTATTTCTTACAGTGACCACTTACACTCATACAGTGACATCTATATTTATGACCCCTTTCTTTACAGCTTTATGTACCCCTGATTATATCTTTGCTTTTAATATAATATGATAAATTCACTTACACAAAGGAAAAAAGCACTTGGCTATAATTCACATTGTTAATTATCTTTTTAAAATTTGCCTATTGATAGGATAACAATGTTAAACTGAACTAAGGAGACATGAAATGCTATTATTTTATTTCATGAAGTTTAGAATTAATGAACCTCTGAGTAATGGAATATTTGTGAAATAACAAAGAGAAAGGCATATAGCTAAAGATAACATTGCACCTTAAACACAAGCCACCTGAAAGATGATAGATCTTCATATTCAGTGTGTTTTTTATCCTTTAAAGTATTAGGGAAATTTTCATGTTGCATTTCTCTTCTTTTCTCTAGGATAACAGTTTTTTATATTATAAAGTTTATATAAAATGTTTACATAATTTAAATCTCCTCATTGCATTTGCCCTTGTGGAATGAATATAATGTTTTGCTTTTCTATATTTCCAAAGAATGTATTTCTTCTTTTATATTTTTTAGTGTGCAGTTACCAAATGAATCTGAGGTGTGGTTTTCTCTGGTTGCAAAACATATTATTCCTTATTTTTAAACATTACCTCTCTGACTTTGCCCAATAAAAGCTTATTCGCTCTCTTTTCCCCCTAGACTGGGTGCTCTCATTTCCTTTTCTTTTTTTTTTTTTTT